GCAGGCGCAGAACCCCCGCAGGTAAAAGCACTTCGGGGGCGGCGCTGAGGTGTGGGAGAGCCCGAGCCTCGCGGCGGCCGGTGCGCGCTGGAGCAGCGCCTGGGCAGCCCCAGAGTGGGACGTGTCTGTGCTGGTGCCCAGCGGCGGGCGCCTCCCGAAGGCTCTGGGCTCCGTCTCCGCTGCTGAAGGAGCTGCCGCGAAACTCCCTGAGCTGACGCCTGGCTGCCCAGGGAGCCGCCTTGCAGGAGTCTCCTTTGTGTCCTTGCTGCCCACCGTCTGTCCCCTGCCCTTGTCTGGCCGTCTCGAGGCTGGATGGAGCACCGGGGACGGGAGCCTCACTTGTCGCAGACGCGGAAGTTGGTGCCCTGTTGGAGGTTCCCTTGTGTGCTTACCAGCAGGGGCACAGAGTGGGATGACTCTGGGGGTGCCTCGCCGAGCCTCAGATTCTTCCTCTGTAAAATGTTGGAAAGACACCTCTCTGTCGTTGGGTCGCTGTGAAGCTCGGAACAAGGCCATGCTGTGCTGGCCCAGGGCCTGTCACTTAGTGAGAGCTCCGTCAGTGGTAACAGGCATGAGTGCGTACACTGGGTGCTGGCGGGGGGCTGGAGTATGCGTTCACATGTCTGTGGAGACGAGCCCTGCCGTCCCCGAGAGAAGGCAGAAGCGGCGCCAGCCAGCGGCGAGTCCCCTGCACTGTGACACAGCAGACGTGCAGAGGACACGCAGCGCGTCCACCAGCTAGGCGGGGCAGTCGGGTCACAGCAGAGCTGGCCAGACCAGCTGGCGGCCACCTCGGACTCACACGAGGCACCCCTGCAGCCCAGGGACCCAGTGGGGCCTGCCACGCATGCGGAGCTGCGGAAGGTTCTGGAAGGGTCCGCAGGGGATGTCTAGATGCCCTGATGACTGGGCGTGATGAGGAGCAGAGCCAGCCGTGCCCTGGCAGGGGCCAGGTGCCCTTGGCCGCGCCGCGTTCAGGGCCTGTGAAGGCTGCTCGTGTATTTCCCAAAGCTCTGCTTGAGAAGCTGGAGACCTGTGGTCTGACAAGGAAGTGACAGAGGTGGCCCGTGAGAACTCACTCCTGAGCCTCCCTCCCTGGGACAGGGCCAGACAGAGCTGAGTGATAAATTCCTCTGGGTGAGATGTTTCTTGCCTGGACACCTGTCTTAGCTAGGGGAAGACGGCTGGAATCCATTTCTGAGGACTGTGGCCTCGGGGGGAGGCTGGTAGCCTCACCTGCTCCCGGAAAGTGGCGTCTGCCTCGGCGAGGCTTGCGTCCTGGGTGGTGCCGTGGTCTCCTGGACTGTCTCAGGGGCGTCGATTTTCGGTGATCTCCTCCGTCCTTTTATTTTTCTCTGCCCCTGTGGGCTGGGGTGGGAGGTTGGGGGCCACCAGCCTGCACCTGGAATGTGCTTTCTCTGTTTACCTTTGGCAGTGACAGGAGGCCCTGCTGGGTCCTGCTATTTAAAAACCACGGGAAAGCCCTGCGTGCCGCTGCCAGCAGGAGGAGGGACGTTCTGGCAATCCTCGCCCGGCAGGGAGGACGCACATGGCCCGTGTTCGTGGGGAAGACATGGACGAGGTGTGGGGAGGAAAAGGCAACAGAGTAATGCCTGTTTCCCCAGCGCTCTGCCGTGTGCAGAGGCTCTAGGATCCCAAGCTGTCAGGGGACCCCCACCCTGGAGCCCCCCTCTCCTCTCTGGACCCCTGGACTTTAGCCTCTGCAGAGAAGTCCGGGAACTAGAGGTTTCTCAGCTTCAGATGGCCCTGCTGGGGCCCAGCCTTGCTGTCTGGCCAGCGTGCGTGCCCCCGCCCCGGCCGCGTGGGTCTCGGAGAGCTGCATGCCCCGGGAGGGCCTGACCCGGCCCAGCTCCGCTGCCCAGCCAGCGTGTGTGCCCCTGACCCAGCCCAGCTCCGCTGCCCAGCCAGCGTGTGTGCCCCTGACCCAGCCCAGCTCCGGCTGCGTGGGTCTTGGAGAGCTGCATGCCACGGGAGGGCCTGACCCGGCCCAGCTCCGCTGCCCAGCCAGCGTGTGTGCCCCTGACCCAGCCCAGCTCCGCTGCCCAGCCAGCGTGTGTGCCCCTGACCCAGCCCAGCTCCGCTGTCCAGCCAGCGTGTGTGACCCCGCCCCGGCTGCGTGGGTCTTGGAGAGCTGCATGCCACGGGAGGGCCTGACCCGGCCCAGCTCCGCTGTCCAGCCAGCGTGTGTGCCCCCGCCCCGGCCGTGTGGGTCTCGGAGAGCTGCATGCCATGGGAGGGCCTGACCCGGCCCAGCTCCGCTGTCCAGCCAGCGTGTGTGCCCCCGCCCTGGCTGCGTGGGTCTTGGAGAGCTGCATGCCATGGGAGGGCCTGACCCGGCCCAGCTCCGAGGTCTTCATCCTTCAGTGTTCGCGGCAACGCCTCCGCTTAGCACCAGACTGTCCCCGGGGCACATCAGAGACACCCGTGACCCTTCTCGGAACACAGAGGGTTAAGAGCTTCCACAGACAGCCTGTGGCCACATCTTCTTTATTTCCTGGGAGAAAGGGGATCTGTCTGTTGTTCCCATTTTACAGATGAAAAAATGGGGCCCCAAAGAGGATCGGGGGCCAGGCACAGTGGCTCACGCCTGTCATCCCAGCACTTTGGGAGGCTGAGACAGGACTGCCTGAGGCCTGGAGTTTGAGACCAGCCTGGGCAGCATAGGGAGACACCATCTCTACAAAAAATAGAAAAATTAGCCAGGCGTGGTGGCGCATGCCTATAGTCCCAGCTGCTTGGGAGGCTGAGGCAGGAGGATCGCTTTAGCCCAGGAGTTGTGGCTGGCAGTGAGCTGTGATGGTGGCACTGCACTCCAGCAGGGTCAACAGGGTGAGGCCCTGTCTCCAGTTAAAAAACAAGAAGGCCCAGGAACTTGTTGGGGGGGAGGTGGATGAAGCCAGGACTCAGGCCCAGGTTGGCCTCCCAGTGCCACGCTCCCCTGAGCCCAGGCTTCCCTGCCCGGTGGCCACAGCCCACCTGGCCTGCCCTGCTCATCTCCCTCTGCTGCAGGTCTGGTTCCCAACTGCTCCAAGTCCCAGTGCCTGCGCCTGTGCCGACCGGCCACCTGGCCTGCTCTTGGCTCCTCTTTCCCTGAGTCTGTCCCCAGACTGCCTCTGTTGGCTGCAGCCTCTCTGAGCTCCTTCCAGCAGCGCATGGTCCTTGCACGGCCCCTGCAGGCCCTGGGACCATCCCGCTGGTGCGGTTTGCCCCCACCGCACAGTGTGAGCTGACACGCCGCGGCCGGGGAAGGAGCCGCTCAAGTCTTCCTTGGGGAGTTTGTTGCTTTGGGGATAAGGGAAGGCTGTTTTCCAGAGTCCCAGTGTGTCCCAGCCCCAGGAGCATGGTGGGCCAGCTATCTGTCCCTCACTGGACAGAAGAATCTGAGGCCCCGAGAGGGTGTGAAGAAGGGCGGTGGGATGGGTTGACACTGGACTGAGACCACTGTGCCTCTGCCACCTGTCAGAGCCTCCCCGCTCTGAGCTGCGTTGCAGGAATGCGACCTGCAGGTGCCGAGTGGCTGTGCACTGTCCCTTTGGACCTGCCTAATGGTCCCCACAGCCACTGCTGGGCCACTTACGTGATCGGGCCTCTCCACCGCTGCCCTCTGCATTGTCGCCCGGTTGTTTGTGCAGCCGCCACCCTCGCCTTCTTTGGTGATCCTCGTCAGAAGGATCTAGGGAGACACCCTTGTCAGTAAAGGCTGGCCCTTTTGTCACATGGCCTCCGGGGCTCTGCCCTCTGTTAAGAATAGCAGTGGCCTTGGCCGTGGTAGGGTGAGGGTTCCTGGGATGGGGATAAAAATTGCCAGGTTTAGTAAGGAAGGATTCCTCTCCTTAAATAGATTTCGAACTTGGAAACCCGATGACAGAGCAGTGAGCCTCGGCAAAGGGAAAACACAAAGGAAGCTGATGTCACCTTGGTTTCACCTTGGCATCCAGCAGCATCCACTCTCTCCTCGGGGCTGGGCTGGTGCTCGGGAGCAGGGAGCGGGAGCTGCGTGTCCCCGCCAGCCGGGCCACCCTCGTCGCCCTCCTCTGCAGAACCCCAGGCACTGCCCGTCTTCCCACTCGGAGCCTGGGGTTCTGCTGGTCAGGGGTCCACTTTCTCAGGGATTCGGGCTCTTGTCTCTTCCTTCAGGGCAGGTGTTTTGGGGGACGCCTGATCTTCCCTCTCCACAGCCTGTTCTTATCAAAGTTAACTTAAGGGTATTGTTTTTCTAAAGAAATGTTCCTCACTGAGGAAGAAAAGGATTGTGCGTGTGCAGGTGTGTTGTGAGTAGTTGCAGGGAGAGTTTAAATCTCAGCTTTTCTACTCCCTCTTTGGGGCCCAGGCTCTACTCAGTGGAAACATTAGGAGTAATGACTGCCTCGCTCGCTTGTTGAGAAAATGAAGTGAGAAGGTGCTTTCTGCCCGTCGGCCCCGTTCTCCCCCACCCACGGCTGTGCACACGCACACACGTGCACACACGCACACACGGGCACACACACGTGCGCACACGGGCCGGCTGCTGAGAGACGTCCCGAGTGGCAGAAGTGAGTGAAGAGGAGAGCGCTGGGTACGCTGAGGCCAGGGTGGGTGCCGTCCTGGGCGCTCCTCTGATGTCTCTCCCCTAACCACTCCCAGGCAGAAGGTGCCTCTGTCGCCACCACATCCACAAATAAAACGTGCACGACGCGTCGCAGCTGCGTGGTTGGCAGTGGCTCTCCGGCCTTCCTCGGGGGCCGTTGCCCCTGGGACGAGGGAAGGTCCTCTGAGCACTTTGCTCCGCCTGCTTGTGAAACAGGGCGGCGCCACCGCGGACCGTGCGCCGCGTGGGTGACGGCCACGGGCCCTCGGGGCGCACCACGGGCACCCGTGCCATAGGTGCGGCCTTCTCATGTCGTGGCCACAGGCAGCGAGTGCCCTTGCTTTGAGTTCATCCTAACCGGAAAGTAGAGGTCATCTTTCTAATGCAGAGCTTTTTGTTTGCTTGTTTCTAGAGCAAATCATGGAGGAAAATAAAAAACATGGTGCACTGGTCTCCCTTTGTCATGTCCTTCAAGAAGAAGTACCCCTGGATCCAGCTGGCAGGACATGCAGGTAGACGCGGCTCCCGGCCACCCAGCAGAGCGGGGGGCGGGACTGACTCTGCCCTGGAGGTGACAGCACCCAGCACAGGCTCCCTCTGAGAGACTGGTCTGAAATTGCAGCCACACTTGCAAATGTGGCCTTAACCACTGCCTTGTGAGTGAGCAGGACAGCTGCCCTCACCCTCGCCCTCTCTAAGCCTGTGGCCCCTTCCCCCAAAGCACACGTGCTCCCCACAATCCCTGTCTCTTCCATCTCTTTCTCTCCCTCCAGTTTTACTTAGTAAGTCAGATGAAGCCGTCAGTCCTTACAGCTTGCGCGCCATTTGTCACCCCAGACAAAGAGGCAAAGCTGACTGCTTCGTTGAGTGCCTGCGTCACCGTGGTCCTAGGGGCTACGGCGTTAATGGAGACGTAGTCTCTGCCCCGAAGGAGCCTGTGGCTGGTGCAAGGTGCAGGCAGGTCACCCACAGCCGTGGGACCGTGTGCAGGTGTGGGCTGGAAGGGGGCTAGCAGCTGGCCACGGTGTGGTCTCCAGCTGGCTCAGCAGTGACAGGGAGGAGGAACACCCGGAGCCAAGGCCCTGGAGCCATCCGGCCCACATGTGGGCCCTTTGGATGCGCCGTCCGCCGGACACTTCAGTGGCTGCCTGTGCACTTGGCCTTTGTGACTTTACCGGCCTGCGGGTCCTGTCCAGGCTGGCACACGCTCCAGTGTTTCTTTTTTACCCCTGACCACACACAGGAAGGGGACGCCCTCTGTAAATACCTGCCTGGGGGTCTGGCTCGGGAGGAGCGCCACCCACGTGGCCTGGGCCTTGGACCCCCACTTCTCAGCCCACTCATCTCCCCTGTCCTGGCTCTGAACCCCGGCCCATCAGGGCTCCTCGACTGAGGCCGGGGACAGCCCCATTGCTGAGAAGCAGGTTGGTGATGGAGGTGGGGTTGCCATAGCAATACCAAGGAGCCAGCAGGTTTGGTGCTCAGGTCTCCGGTGGCCCTGTGACCCTCGGCAGTGAGCATGGGTGTTCCTCCATCTCGATGAGGAGTCTGGGGTCGGGGAAGTTGGGGGACCAGCCTGGAGTTGCAGTCAGTGAGTGGGGGGACGGGGACTTGCATCCAGTCCCCCTACAGTGCTTGGTCCACAGAGGAAACTCAGACACTCCTCCAGCCCCAGAGCCAGCCCCCTGGGGGACCCAGGCACCTCGCGGGGAGGGCACCTTTGCCTGCGGTGGGCTGGGGACACGGCCTCCTCTGCTTGCTCTGCAGGGAGTTTCAAGGCGGCCGCCAACGGCAGGATCCTGAAGAAGCACTGCGAGTCGGAGCAGCGCTGCCTGGACCGGCTGATGGCGGACGTGCTGAGGCCCTTCGTGCCCGCTTACCACGGGGACGTGGTGAAGGACGGGGAGCGCTACAACCAGATGGACGACCTGCTGGCCGACTTCGACTCGCCTTGCGTGATGGACTGCAAGATGGGCGTCAGGTGAGCCGTCCCCGGCATCTCCCCAAGTGCGGAGCGTGCAGGGACCCTGGCTTTGCCCGTGGCAGCCCCTACCCTTTTCTGGGGAGCTGGGGTGAGGCAGGAGCCGAGGGCTGGTGTCGCCAGGAATGGGGGCCCTGGCTGCACCCTGAGTCTCCCCAGAAAGGAGAGAACTGCCCCCCCAGGTCAGGCGGGATTGCTGGAGGCTCGGGGGTCACCAGGTAGGGGGTGGCAGGAGGGTGACTTCCTGCCAGGATGAGGCTCTGAGCCGAAGTCTTCTCATCACCCGGGGCTGGGAGTGGGCCGAGAGCGTGGCTGGCAGAACTTGTTGATTTGCCCAACCTGTACCTGCCTACGCGTAAACTGGGGAGGGAGCCCAGGCGCTCAAGGGACCGACGTCGCAGCCTGGGCCTGAGGGTGGCTCGGGGCCTGGCCGAGGCCTGTGTGCGGGGCTGGCCCCCAGGTCCTGCCTGCGGGGCTCCAGCTCACCCCAACTCTGCCCAGAGAGAGAAGTGTGGAGAGGACCCCAGAGGGAAGCGGAGATGCAGGAGTGGGCCCGCGGCCACCCGAGCTCTGGGGCCCTGTTTGGCTCAGGGTTTTCTTGTCCCCTCACAAGCTATGGCCCTTGACCCTGGGTCACCACACAGCCCCTCTCCCTCCCCTGTGGGGGGTTGGTGAGTCTGTCTGAGCTGTCAGCCACGTGGAGAGCCTGGCCCTGGCCGTGGCCAGACCAGACGCGGGTCCTCCAGGGCACCCCGCGCGGCTCGCCCGGGACGCAGCGCGCAGACTGAAGCCTGCGTCTGCTTTGAAGGGCTTGACCGGTTTATTTCTTACCAGAGGAGGCTAAGAAAGAGGGCTGCGTGTGCGCGTGTGGGCCGCGGAGGGGCGAGGGGCAGGAAGGAGCAGGCCAAGCTGACCAGTTTTTCTTTCTTTCCTCCCGGCCCCTCCTGGGAGCCCTGACGCCTGTTCCTGCTGTGGCCCCCAGGGCCCAGATGGGGGGGTATACCCCCTGTTCGCTCCTGCAGATTCAAGGCCCTCACTGTTTTTTAGCCCACAGGGGGCTAGGGTGGGGCAGGGAGGAGACAGACCCCATTCAGCCTCTGTTGCTTTTCCCCAGAGTCTGATTTCTGACCCTGTAAGACCCTCCGCTGGCACACCAGCCTGTGCCCCCTTGAGGGCGGGCATGGCCCTTCTTTCCAGGCCAAACAGCAGCAGGACTGGCTGGCTTGTGGGGGGCGGGGGGGGGGTGTAGGTCATAGCATGGACACCGGAAAGTGCTCCAACTGCTATTCACTCAGTCCATGGCCAAAACACTTACACCCTGCATGAAGAATGTGTGGCCAGTCACTTTTGGAAGTCAGTGGCCCCAAGGGTACCCTGTCCAGGACCCTGCCTGCTCCCCAGGCTGTTAGGGCCACCCCACCCTGGCCCCAGGGCTGCCCTCCAGCCCCTAGACTCTGGCAGCTTCCCTCTCATTGCACCCTAGGGCTCTTCAGAAAGACTGAGAGTGACCAGAGGCTGAGACATGTTTTGCCCAGTCCTGGCAGAGGCCTGGAGGAGGTGGAATGAGAGACCAGTAGGTGGAGGGGAGGAGGGAGGTCTCCCCACAACTGGGCCCACCCAGCCACACCTTCCCTGCACGTGGATCTTGGACCCTTCTTGCTGCAAGCACCGTGTAGACGCGTCATTTACTCTGGTGCATTCTCACGCTGCCCTGGAGTTGGGTCCTGGTCTGGTTTGAGCAGGGGGTTCTGACACCCAGAGTGACTCACAGGGCCCCAGCCAGGCAGCCGCACGGTGCAGATCTGCACCAGGCCTGCTCGACTGCAAAGCAAGCCCCTGGCCACAGCCCAGCGCTGCCCAAGATGGCAGTGTGGGACCCCAGTCCCAGGGCTGTCTAGTATGCCGGGCCAGTTCCATTTGGGCCGGGGAGTCTGGCCTTCTCCCAAACGCGTTAATCCAGAACCCTTGGCCTCAGAGCCTCCCCCGAGACATCCATCCTAGGCCACCCCAGAGTGTGTCCTGTCTGTGCCAGAGGGAAGAGGCTGGAGCCCAGAGCCGCCTCCAGCACCGATCCCCAAGGCGCAAGGGCTCGAGACGGCCCCGAGGAGGGGAGCGGCCGGTCGCGAGCGCAGTGTTGGCTGTGGCGGGGACGCGGGTGGTGCTCAGGAGGTGATGCTGGTGCTAGGAGTGTCCCCAGCGAGGGCCTTCTTGGGACCCTGGTTCCACAGGGACAGGTGCTCCTGTGACTCCAGGAGTGTTCTTAGATGTGTGACTTGCCACGGAGAGCCAGCAGTGACATCGGGACCAGGGCGTGGGCGGGGAGGCTCGCCCGTCTCCAGCACCCTGCCCTGTGGAAGCTGTTGGTGGCTTTGGTCTGCCACCAGTTGGCTCCCACAGGCTTGCTGCCTTTCTGAGAGGGCCATCCCCCCAGCTGTGAGTCACCTCCCCTCCTAGCGCCCCTGCATGGGAGGAGCTTTGACTGTCTGTCCCTCTGGGGCGGGCACAGCAGTGGGGGGCAGGGGCTAGAGGTCACCTCCCCACGTACCTCTGGCCCCACCATGCACCAAGCTGGCAGCCCTGTGGGCATCCCGCCCCAGCCCCTCTCCTGCGGGGCAGTGGCTGCCCACGCTGAGCTGCGGGGCCCTTTTTAGAGAAAGGCCGTGAGAAAGGGGTTTGACGTTGAGGTCTGCTTCCTGTTTAAGGAGCTGCTGGAGCTCTTTGCAGAAGTGCAGCCACCCACCCACCCTCCCGCAGCAGCACACGCAGATCCACATGCTCCATCCCTCCCGCCATCCCTGACGAGCTCTGCGTGCACGGCGGTGGTGTGTGCACGTGTGTACCTGTGTGCATCCATGCACGTGAGTACACGTGTATGTGCGTGCACGTGTGTGCGTGCAAGTGCCCGGCCAAAGGCTATTACTGACCTCCCCTTACAGTCCTCATCGCCTCCTAGAAGGTCCCAGCTAGGACTAGCTTCGGACCCAAAGGATTTGGGTTTTTCTTCCTGTTCCTTTCAATGCAAACATTGGTGGATACAGTGGTTTCTGACATTCTGTCGTTTTTAAGGTGTACTGAGTTTTTGTTCAGTCTGTTCTGGGTCCCTAACCGCAGCTTGGAGAAGGTGTGGTGGGAAGTGCTGGAGCAGGCGTGGGAGAGAGACGGGGACGGTGGGGCCGCGTGCAGGGCAGGCGGGCTCTGCGGGCAGCTCCCACCCACGCAGGGGCAGAGAGGAGCAAACTTCCCCATCCTGCAACTGACACTGCTGATTTCTGTCTCCCGAGGGCCATGGGCAGGATCCCAGCCTGTTGTGAGGGAACAAAGGCTTGAGAAGGGGAGCAGGAAAGAGGGCGGGGTGACCCACAGGCCTCCAGCACGGAGATGGCAGTATGGGCAGCCCCATGCAAGTGGGGGGATGTGTGTGTGTGGGGGGTCCCAGCAGCCCAGGGCCAGTGATTCAGCCTCGGGCTGCTCAAGTCTTGTACTGTCCCTGCCCCTGTCACCTCCCGGTGTCTAGGTGGTCCCCAACAGGTCAGCCAGAACTGCCGTGCGGAGGGCAGGGTGGGACTGTTCAGCTGGAGGCATTTTCTCAGGTTCAGGGCTGGCGGCTCAGGGGTGGGAGCGCAGAGGCTAAGGAGCCCTGTCTTTCCCATCCCGTCATGGCTTTTCCATCCCCACTGTGCCCCTCCCCCTCGGAGGCCGCCTTCTGGCCTGTCCTTTGTGCTCAAGGGTTCCTCTCCTGGGCAAGCGCCAGAGACGCGGAAGGGCTGCCAGAGAGCGGGCAGGGGACAGGGGATGGAATGAGTTCTCTGTGCAAGACCAGTGCTGGCTTTGGAAGGCCATGCTGTGTGGAAGGGTCCCAGGCCGCCAAGGCCACCTCGTGTGGCTTGTGTGGGGCTGTCCCTAGGAGGAGCTCCTTGGGCTTTGCAGGCCCTCCGAGTGGCCCTGGAATAATGGTGCTCCGACGTGTTGAGGCTGCCATATTTTTCTCGGCTCCAAGAGCCACCCCAGGCAGGGCGGAGCGTGCCGCTCCCCGGGCTGAACGTGCCTCCACTCGACTCGGGGGCTGGGCTGACTGCTGCCCTCGGGCAAGGCACACGGGCCTGAAGCTGCCTCACCTCCACACAGGACCTACCTGGAGGAGGAGCTCACTAAGGCCCGGAAGAAGCCCAGCCTGCGGAAGGACATGTACCAGAAGATGATCGAGGTGGACCCTGAGGCCCCGACGGAAGAGGAGAAAGCCCAGCGGGCTGTGACCAAGCCGCGGTACATGCAGTGGCGGGAGACCATCAGCTCCACAGCCACCCTGGGGTTCAGGATCGAGGGCATCAAGGTGAGCCCCACGAGGTGCCACCGAGGGTGCCCGCCTCCCTGGTAGTGGAGTGATGGGGAGCTTGGACCCCACCAGTGTTCACCCCGGTCCTGGCTGCTCTTAGCGCCCTTCGGAGCTGTAGGCTTCTCCCGCCCAGGCCCAAGGTGGGCGGCAGCCCCAGGGGGACATTTGGAAATGTCGGTCTGGGGCTCTGGCGGGATGGCACGCAGGCGGCCCAGACCTCAGAGAGGGCGGCTTCTAGCCCTGCCCAGCCGCCAGCTCTCTGCGAGGGCTCTGCACTCAACCTAGGCCGTGTCCCACACTGAGGAGGCTCGGCGGAGCCAGCCCGCGGGATGCCCACCTGGAAGGCGGCTCGTCCTGCCTGGAGCCTGCACGTGGGCAGGCGGCACAGGCGGGCCAGAGGAGCGGCCCGCGGGGTCTCAGGCGGCCGTCCTCCAGAGCAGGTGGCGGTCCCTGCAGTGACTCGGGTCTCCCATTCTCTGTCCATTCTTGGCCCTCATTGTCTGTCTCCAGAGCCCAGCCCTGGAGGCAGGGTTGGGTGGCTGAGAGTCTGGATGGGAGGGTCCCCTTCAGCCTCTGTTCCGGCAGCATTTAGATGCAGGTTTCTGCAGTTGCCGGTGTGATCGCTGCCACCGTGGCATGTGGGGCAAAGATCTCGCCTTCCTCCGGGACAGCTGCTTTGCAAGCTCTGGGCTGAGAAGGCCACTCACCCCTTCCTTGCCTTTTGAAACCAGCCTTCCCTCTTGTTTGCATCCTGCCCTCAGTGGGTGCAAATCACGTCCTCCTGCTCCTGCAATGCTGGCGTCCTTGCTGTGTCTGCTCAAACCGTCCGCCTGCCCCTCGCTAGCCCCTCGAGCAGGATGCGCTCCTGGTCTCTTCTGTCGTCCAGCTGTGGGGGCGGCAGGAATTTGGGGCGGGGAGGAGGCAGTGTGAGACCTGTTTCCAGGCACCTGTGGTGAGAGGTCTTGGATTACAGAGGCAGGTGGGCTGAGCTTGGGGTGGGGAGCACTTCCCTCCTGTCTGTGCCCAAGGAATCTAAGGGAGGAGCCCTGGACCGCGGGGTCTGGTTCCAGGGCTGGCTCTCTGCCAAGCTCCTCCCGCCTGGGCCCAGACGCTGCTGGTGCCTCCAGGCCTGCCCCAACACCTTTCACCTGCCCGCTGTTCTCCCTGCTGTGCCCCCAACGACGATGACTGCCACCTCCCTGAGCCACCACCCTGAGCAGGGCTCCTGCGTCAGCACAGGCCACCCGCTCTGTGGCCGCTGGGGGGCGGGCACGGTCCCCGCCCGCGGGTCCCGTGTGACTGTCTGGGGTGGGGTGCTGTCCTCCTCCTCAGAAAGAAGACGGCTCCGTGAACCGGGACTTCAAGAAGACCAAAACGAGGGAGCAGGTCACCGAGGCCTTCCGAGAGTTCACCAAAGGAAACCCTAACATCCTGGTGAGTCAGGGCGCCTCCGGGAAGGGTCTCTGGGCCAGCCGGTGAGGGGTTGGCGTGCCTGCGCCGAGGTCCTGGCCCGGCCTCACGCGAGCCGCGCCTCGGAGCCCCCGGCCCAGACTCCGCCTGTAAGGCGAAGGCGATGCCACTGTCCCGGGAAGCTGAGCGGACTCGCTGCTCTCCCTCAGCCGCCGGCCTCACGGCTCAGAGCATACTTTCCCTGCCCTCGAGAGTGGCCACTGCTAAAGTTCTTCCGCACCTGCTGCTTGCCGGCCGAGTGCCCAGCAGATCCTCGTGCTGTGGGTAGACGTCCCTGTCCCCATTTTATAGATGAGGAAACTGAGCTGTCAGGCATACACAGCTAGGAAAGGGCAGGGCTGGGGTGCACACCCTGCTCTGCCTGGCACAGAGGCCAGGTGAGCCGTGGGGTCCCTGCCCGGCACGGCCAGCAGCCTGCTGGTCCCCATGCGCCCTGGTGCCTCCAGGCCTGGCCAGGCCTTGCTGGCTGTGAGGCCGAGTGAGGGCCGTGTGCCCTCCCCATGAGAACTGGCCAGCTCTGAGCCGGGGGTTGTGGGTAGTACAAGTCATGGCAAAGTGACCTCCTCTGTGTGCTTCCACGGCAGCTGACAGGCTGGGACAGATGCTCTGCCCCCGGACCGAGCACTGACCCTCCCACTGAGTTAGGTATGTCACACCGCTGCACCCCAGTGCAGGGAACCCTGTGACAGTCAGAGATCCAGGCAACCTGGGACGTGGCCTGGGGCGCCTGTGAGAGGCCCCCTCTGCAGGCCCTGCTGCAGCACAAGGAAGGGCCCGACTGCACGTTCCCCAAGGAGACCCGGTGCCACTGGGACTGGCAGGTCCCCTCCCTCCTCTGTGGGCCACGGAGGCGCGTCCCTTGTTCCCTGGCGAGCTCCAAGGTTGTAGGCTTGGGAATGCCCCGATTCTCCCGTGCCCTGGCTGGGTCACCTGCAGGGCAGGGTTCCGGCCCCTTGGAGATGTCTGTCGCAGAGGGTGCTTCTTATGCCCGGACCAAGAGGGGTTCATTCGAGGTGCTGAGCACCCCAGGCACTGCCCGACCGGCTCTGCCAGCTGTCACTGCTGTTCAGATGGACACCAGGGACCCCCATGTGCCTGTCTGTGTCTCTCGGGCTTGAGACGCACAGAGCTGCCCCTGGGGAGGACAGGGTACCCCCACGGCCGGCACAGGTCGGCGTGAGTTTGCCAGGCTCTGCGGAGAGGACACCGGCAGAGGTGTTCGTGGTCCTCCCACTTAGTCCGTCCTTTCAAAAGTCACGGCACTGAGGTCTGTGTTCAGGAAGACGCATGGCAACCCAGCTCTGAGGATGCTGCCTCTAGACTGCTGGCATTCGGGGCATACTGAACCCTCACCAGGAGGAGCCCCTAGCTCCGATGCTCTGGAACTCTCCTTCCCTGAGCCCCCTGCTCAGGACAGCCGAGTGGAGGAAGGGGGGACCTGTAGCCCGGCGGTACTGGGCTGCAGTGTGTTCGCTGGTAGAGGAGGAAGTGGGAGTGAGGGAGCGGGCATGGGGACGCGCTCACTGCAGTCGGTGACTTGGACACGCCGAATGGGCCTGGGATCCGCACGCCGCCCCTCGCGGTGTTTCACATTCTCCTCATCGTGCTGTTCCCAGGTCGCCTACCGGGACCGGTTGAAGGCCATCCGGACCACCCTAGAAGTCTCTCCCTTCTTCAAGTGCCACGAGGTAGATACTGGGCTTCGGCCCTCTGGGCACAGAGCTGCCTATGCCCCTGGGGAGAGGGCACCTCAGGGTGGCACAGCCAGAGGCAGGCCACCGGCGTCAGCCCCCTCGCTGTGTCAGGGTCCCTGGGCGGGCCACACGGGCTGTCCTGCTGTTGCTCCCTTTCTTCTCCTCCCCTCCCAGCTCCTGAGCCTGTCTGTTCCAGGCGGCAGTGGCAGGCGTCTGTCCCACTCACCCCGGGATTTTAGGGCAGGAACCCTCTGAGCTGCTGGAGTAGCCGGGTGACCCCCGCCACCGTGCCTAGGTCTTCAGATGAGACCCTGAGGAGGGCAGGCAGGTCTGCAGGTGCCTCTCTCAAGCAGGGCTGGAACCTCCACCTGCTCCCGCCTTTGCAGAGACTGGTTTGGGAGGGCAGTAGGCAGCAGAAGGGAAGTAGAGGCACCTGAGGGGCTCTGGGAACTGTTGGCAGGTTCCCTGGAGGGGGTTATGAGATCCTGCCATGGGGAGTTCAGGGCCCCCAGCCCTGTGCACAAGCACACACACGTACATTCATGCATGCACTCACAAATCACACGTGCACACACACAAGTATGCACGCAGTCTCACACATGCACTCACAAATCACACACATACACACCTATCACATGCATGCACACACATACACTAACACATGCGTACACACATAAATCATACATATACTCACACACACATATATCCACACACAAACGTGCACGCCTTTCCATGTGCACACCCAGTTACACACCCATCACACACAGAGCAGCCCTCGGCACCAGCACCCCCAGGATCGGCTGACGCCGTGGGTGGGTGTGAGGCAGCGTCTCGCCCCAGGCTCTCTGCAGCCTGGCAGCTCTTTCAGGACAGCAGCCGCTCAAGGGGTCTTGTGTGGAGCAAGCTTCAGCCCGAGCCCACAGAGAAGGGGCAGGTGCAGCAGGAGGGACGCAACGGGCTGTCGGGCACCGGGCAGGTGGTGCACCTTCGTGCCACCTATACCGCCGGCCTCTCCCCAGGCGGACAGCTGACCTTGCCCTTGGTTTGCATTCCTCACCTGCCCCTGGGCCAGGTACACCTGTCCCACCGTCTGGACAGGAAGGCTGTGAGCAGGGGAAGGGACTCCAGGAAGGCAGGCTCGGGCCCGCACCCTGCAGGAGGTTTGGTCCAGCCCTTTGGCCCCCAGACCCCTGGTGCCTCCTGGGGCCTGTGTGTTTCCGGCCTGACAAAGGTGTTCGCGCGGCCGGCCAGAGCCTGCCTCCCCGCAGCCCTCCTCCCTGCAGGCCGAGCGCAGGCCGGCTGCGAGGGAAAGGTGCAGGTTTGGCTGTGGTCTAGGATTAGTGGAAAGTGTTCAGGCTAGAGTTGGACGCTGAAGGGGTGTCTGCCATCCCGGACTTCCTGCCGCTGCACACACGGGAGGGTGTCACCGTCCCAGCGTCTGATGTCCTCTGCCCCAGTGTGGTCATGCGTGGACTGGCCCAGCTGAGAATGAGGAACAGAACTGGCCCCCTGGGTGACCCAGCCTGAGTGGACCCCTCGGGTTCATGCAGGCCACAGGCCTGTCCGAGTCTCCTTGGGGGCCGGGTTGCAGCGGGGTGGCAGGGCAGGGGTCTCCAGCCCGCGCCCTCCTCATCGCCCTGCCCACCTGCAGGTCATCGGCAGCTCCCTCCTCTTCATCCACGACAAGAAGGAGCAGGCCAAGGTGTGGATGATCGACTTCGGGAAGACCACGCCCCTGCCCGAGGGCCAGACCCTGCAGCACAACGTGCCCTGGCAGGAAGGGAACCGAGAGGACGGCTACCTCTCGGGGCTGAACAACCTCATCGACATCCTGACGGAGATGTCCCAGGGCGCCCCACTCACCTGAGGCCGCCCCGCGCCCTCCCTGGCCCACCACCGGGCCTCTGGTTCCCCCCTTTGCTTCCCTTCTCTTCCTGAATCTTCCCTTCACTTCTGCCTGGCCCGAGCCCCAGAACTGACCCTCCCGAACTGCACTACAAGACACTTTGTAGAAGAGGAGATGAGGCTTTCTAGTATTTTCCTAACGTCAGAGCTGAGAGGTGGCCTTTCCACTGCTCTTTGTAAATAGAATCACCTGCTAGACGAGAAATGCCTGGACCTAGGCTCGGCTGTCTGTGAGGTTATTTGGGGTTAGAGCAGAGGGGCTCCCTGGCTGCCGAGGGGACCCTGGGGACCCTGCTGGCTCCGGCAGCCCCTGGCAGTGCTGGCCCGGGCGGACTACCTGTGGAGGCCTGCTGCCCCCTGGCGGCTGGTGCCCTTAGTGCTGCGGCCAGGGGCGGCCCAGTTGGTGCCCAGGCCTCCCGAGCAGAGAGCCCAGCGGGGGGCTGGGTTCCTGGGGCCTGGCGGAGACGCCCGGCTTTCTGGTATTCTGGTAGTTGGGGTTGGGACACAACCACTGAGGACCCACGTGCTGTTCATGAGCGAAGTACCTTCTAATGAGCAGCTCCAGGGGCTTCCAGAGCTGCTGCGGTGGCCTTTCTAGGGCTGCTACAGCAAGGACCGCCACCCACCCTGCATGGAACCCCCAGGGGCTTTGGGCCAGACCCTGGAGCCAGGAGCAGGCTGAAGCCAGCTGGGCGGAGTTCTATAATTGATGCCTGCCCAGAAGAGGGCCGGCAGGAGCTGGCTGTGTCCTTCCATCTAGACCTGCTGCCATGGGTTCAGCGGCGCCTCTGCCGAGCTGAGCACCAGGGATGCCACCGGGGATGGAACCTGCAGCATCTCTGGGACTCCGGCCCAGGGCACGAGGCTTTCTCTTGCCCTCACCTCCCCAGTGCGGGTGGGTCCCCTGCCTGCACAGTGGGGCGCTCTCATGGGGCCCAGGGTCCGTGTCCAGGAAGGAGGGCGGGGCTTGGGCCTGTGCCAGGCAGAGAGAAGGCAGGATTCTGGCTTGCTGCATCATTTCTTAAAATTTTCCCCTGAAATACATCTTATGACCTGAAGGGCTTAGACCCCTGTTTCCCTAAGGTAGTGTGGGAAGCTTTGCAGGGCATGATGAGGCCCCAGGGGTGAGCCAGGCGGCTCTCACTGGAGCCTTCTGTGCTGCTTGGAGATTCATGGGGAACCATTTTTGAGCCTCATTTTAACTGCAAGCTGGTGAGTCTGTGTTATGGGGTGGAATGTAAAATTTGCATGATGTTTTAAGAACAAAACTCCCAGCTCTGTGGCCACTGGAGCTGTCCCCAGGCCCCTCGGGGGTTTACCACTGTCAGGTTCGGGAGTGCAGAGAGTCGAGGGGCTCTGCCCGGCACCAGCCGCAGGAGCTGCTGCAGGGTCACCGAGGGGTGTGGACCAAAGTGTGTGCTTGCAGGGACCGCCCCTGTGGGAGCGCTGCCCGGGCGTCCACCCCGGCACCCGGGCTCTGGGGGCACTGTGGCCTTGCCACGGGACACGGATGTCTCCCCCTGCGCCGGGTGCCTGGGTGACAGTTGGTGGGGGTGGAGGCTAAGACACATGAGGATGTATAAGTATAGTTTTTAAAAAAGGAAGTCACTTAAACTTCCTGGCTGTTGTTCAAAACAGTGGTGAGCTCCTGTGTGGGCTGACCACTGAAGGTCACACCCCCGCCCCAGCTGAGCCGAGAGACTCGTGACAGCACGTGATCTGGAAGGCAGGCAGGACGGGGCATCAGGGAGCCAGAGCTAGAGTCACTTTGGGGTTAGAAGGGACCCTGGTGGGCTGTGCTTCAGCCATTTGCAGGACAGGGACATCATTCATTCAGATGTGGAGATTCTACCACTATGGACTGGCCAAAGGTTACCCTCATTCCATCTGTGAAAAACACTTGCTAAAGCAAATTAATGATATGAACAAAACTTCCAGGGGGCCAGCTTAACCTGTTTAAGAGAACAAAACTTGCCAAGCACTTTAAGCAGGCACCTGTTGTTTGCAAACAATGTGCTAATATGCAAATGATTTGTTGATTAAAGGAGGCCCCAATACTTTGCTTTGGGTTATATATGTGAAAGTGGTGAAAAAAAATGGCATCATTTTAGGGTTTTCTATTACTTAAAGGTTTTGGGGTTTGTTTTTTGTATTTACCATGCTAGTTGTCCTCTTCCACATCTTACTCAGAGTGCCCACCCCTTGTCCTACCATCTGGTCCTCCCCCCTTATCTGAGTGGGATAGATGGATCCCGGAATGGAATCTTCCAGAACCCCCGCCCTAGCTGTCTAAAAGACCATACCTGTCTGGCCCTGGTCCTGACAGGGACTCCTTGGGTCCTGGCTCTGCAGATGCCAGGAGGTGGGACAAGCTCTGTGCACCTGTGCACAGGTGAGTGGGTGCTGGGCCCTCCTGCTCTGTCCTCCTGGGCCCCCAGGAGTTCTTGCCATTCAGCACTGCTTGGCATTCTTGGAAGGTTTCCTCAACTGCTTTTCCCAGACTTGCCTTTAGTGTCATGTAAGAAGTTTTTAAGTTATATTTATTTTGTCGGTTTTTAAAATTGCACAGAACACTAAGACTGAAAGGCTGGACTTTGTTTCTCCTTTAAAGCTTTGACTTTGTTTTGAGCTTCCTGTCCCATTTGGTAGAAAGAGCCTGGACATAGCCCAGGCCCCCAAGGGGGATGTTTTCTTCCTTTAGTTGTATTTAGCTTTGAGTTTCTCTGCACTGTCAACCCTGTGTGTATATAACCCGGCCCCCTGCTCTAGGGCGTTCACCCCATCAGTGCCTTTTTTCTGGAGGAGAGGACCCCCCAGAGAGGCCTCCTTCTCTTCTGCACCCCCTCCTCACGGGACCTTAGAGAAAACTGAGCTGTTACAAACGCCCTGCACTGTGCCTGTCGGACAGACTGCAGTGTACAAATAAAGCCCTGGAGACCAGCCTGTGCTCAGTGTGCTCCTTCCCATCCTCAGCCCTGCACATGCGGGTTGGGGGGTGGGCTGGGGGTCCACATTGGGGTTGTCGGGGATGGTCACACTGGGGAACACTAATCTGCGCAGAATGTGAAGCACTTTAAAAAACATGGCATTTCTACTTTGTCCACAAAACCTGTAAGTAGTTCAGGGACACGAAACAGCGACAAGGAGTGCTTCCCCTCCACCCCCAAAGCCTGGGGTCTCCGTCGGCTGCTGCTGGAGACCCGCGCGGCGCTGGGCGCTGCTGAATGCTCACGTCTGGGTGCCAGTTCTACCTGGATCAACTCCACGAACGAGGCTTTATAGTCTCTGTTTTGCAGATGAGAAAACTGAGGCTTAGCTCAAGCAATCTGACGCGGTGATACGTGGGGAGCAGGGGTTGGAACCCAGAACTTGCCTGGACTCAACGCCAGTTCCGTTGTCTTCCTGACTGGCGGGGTGTCTGGAGGGCAGAGCGCGTCCCTCCCCTGGGCCCCGGCTCCAGGCTGCAGCCCGGCTTGGCACGGCAGAGGCTGCTTGGCTGGGTGGGCCGGGAGGACCCGAGAGCAGACAGCCCTGCCACACGCGGAGGCTCCACCGCGGTAGGCCTCTCCAGCTCTGGAATGCGGGGGCTTCATTCACAGAACTCAGAATTCTTTGGGGACGGGGGACATCGCTTCTGCATGCCTTTGAGAAGTTACAGGATCAAAGTACAGACAACAAAAGCCACAGGGCCTTTGCACCTTCTGTCCGTTTGCCTGGGGTGCTGCCCCCAGGCTGGCATGTGATGACCGCTCGCCTCAGATGCCCACACCGTCACCTGTGTCGTGCTCCTGTCGGTGCTGCAGCAGCCAGCGCGGGGCGGGCCCAGCAGTGTGCACACAGGCACAGCTTGACAGCGACCCGCATTGCTCCCGCCCTGCGCCTCCGGTGCTGCCCGCCACAAGGTTTCCCCGTTGCCCAGAGGCAGGGACACGGCTCAGGCTGGTGCGCGTGTGGCCTCGAGGCCTGTGGGTCCAATCGTCCCCGGTGCAAACCTTCCACCCTGGGGAGATGAGGACGGGCTCCCCCCTTCGCCACCCCCTGCCGCTGGCCGCGGCCGACGGCTTCCCGGAGAGCAGCACCCCGAGATCGAGCAGCAGCTGCCCGTGCCGGTGGCTCGTCAAGCATCCTCCTCAGGCTGGTGCCCCTCCTGCCCTGGCTGTGCCCTCTGGGTCCCCTCACCGTGGAGAGACGGCCAGACCCCAGGCCATGGGGCCGGGGCTCAGCAGAGGAGCCCTGTCACCCCCAGGGCACGTGGCCCCTGGGCAGGGAAGGGTTGTCCTCCTGACTCAGTGACGGGGCCCCTGGGTCTGGCTGCCTGCTGCAGACAACCTCTTGGCCACGCTGCTCGCGGGCTCCCTGGCCCGCCCTGGGAAGAGGGAACCCCGTGTGACCACGTGGAGCTCAGGGAGCCGGCCGCTGGGTCCCTCCACATCCTGTCTTAGAACACAGAGCCTGGGGTGAGGGCGCGAGCCGGCTCCGTGGGTGAGCACTCCCTCGGGCAGGAGGCAACGCGCGTTCTGCCAGCGGAGGGAAGCCCGTCCCAGCCTGCCTCTGGGAGCCGGGGACGCCGCAGGCGGGGCCCCCGGCAAGATGGATTTCAGCCCAGACTCATTTATCCGTGGGCTCCTAAGCCCCTCTCTAACCAGAGGGCCATGGTGGCATTCAGGTCTCAGGTAACACTGTCAACTGTGACCCCGGAGACTGACTGTGGCTGCTGGAATGGAAAGTTGCAGACGTCCAGAACTAGGTCTGCTCAGACCTGACTGCAGGTAGGCCCCTTGAGGGGGCCTGCACCCCACTGCAAGTGTGTACGATGGATACTCTTCCAACCCGAGCCCAGAGGGGCCTACAGCCATCGCCACTGCCCCGTGCCCCGGGCAGGGTGACCCACAGATGTGGCCTTCTCAGCAGGACTGCGCTGGCATGAGCTGCCCCCGAACCTCCACTTTCACCTCGCAAGGCCTCCGGCGCCATCAGAGCAGCCAGACCACACCAGTCCCCACAGCCACCACTGCTCCCACAGAGCCAGGGCCGTGGCCGCTGCGGGCCCTGCCTCCCCTCCACCTCGCCCGGCCAGCTCACCACCGCTGGACGTCCGGGGTGGCACCGACGTCACCACCTCGCTCCTGCCAGCGGCAGAGCCCTTGCTGCCTCCAGGTGGGCGGGCAGCCGCCACAGGCCCACCCTGAGGTCGCTGTCTAGGCGAGCGCCCGTCCCGGGCCTGGCTGGCCCCTGGAACTCCTGGGAGGTCAGTCGCGGGGGCTCCCGGAGCCTCGCCTGGCCCCAGCGGCCTCAGGCTGTGGGCGTCTTCAGAGAGACCAGATGCGCTGCCGTGCTGGGCCGGTCCTGGAGGAGGCAGGGACAGCATGCTCTGCCAGCCAGCTCGCCCTGTCTCGCTCGGGTCAGTCTCCCTGGAGGGCGTGATCTCGGGCGTGGCATCGCCAGCCCCTCCGTAGGCACAGGCCCAGGCTGCACACAGGCGCCGCAGCCCTGCTCAGTGGTGGTGGCGGCAGTGTCTGCGGTCTGGCCCTAAGCCCCTGCGTGCGGCGCGAGTCGCCGGCTGCGCGGGTCTGACCCGCTGTGCGGACAGAGTCCGGACAGGACCGGCCCAGCGCCCAGGCAGCGCAGTGCCCCTGCAGCCCCGGCCCCCAACCGGTGCTCCGCTCTGCCCCTTTTCTGTCCTTGACAGAGTCTCACCCCCTGACCCGAGTGGACGGGAAGCCGGGGTCCCTCGGAACTGCCCCTGTTCCCAGTCTGGTCTGGGGAGGGGAGAGAGGCTGCAGACAAGAGGACCCCACAGGGGCTCTGCAGACGGTGGCTGGGGAGTGCTCAGCAGTCTTGGTGACAGGAGGCTGTCTCCAGACCAGGGGCCACCAGGATGACACTCCTGGAACCAGTGAGGACCAGCAACGGGGACAAGGCCCCGGGAGAGGCACCGGCAGACCCAGGGTTGTGGGTGCGACGCAGACTTGCAACAGTGCCAGTGCGCCCACTGCGGACGCCCATCCCTGACCGCTTTACCCACCATCCTGCACTCTCCCAAACTGTGAATGAACAGAGCGGTTGGGGGGGCAGGGAGCGCCAGGAAAGTGACGCTAATTTCTGTGGTTTTTAATGTGGCAGCCCATGTTTGGGTTATTTCAAAAATAGTTTCTGCAAATTATGGACAAGCAGTGTCTTACTGAGACAATTTGCTGTCGACAGCAGCCCTGTTTTAATTCAGTGGGGGAAAAAAATGCCCAATTTTAGCCACGCTTTCTGAGAGCACCTGCTGGAGGGAGATCAAGACGGCCGCCGACGGAGGCTGCCCCCTCCTGGACGGGCGCACGCATTACAAGGTACCCAAAGAAAGGGAAGGCGGTTGGGGAGCTCATTTAACTTAAGGTCCGGAAGCCACACTGCTCAGCCAGCTTGCTCTCCTGCCACCCAGAAATTCCCTGGCGGAGAGAGAGTTCCCTTGATTTCATGGCTGATCCCAACTGCTTCATCTTCGGCCTGGGCTGGACATAACGACCATGGCATTGAAGGACTAAATATATGGCATGATAAATCATGTTTATGACTGAGAAGACTCAATCTTGTAAAGATGTCAGTTCTCCAAATCTATTTCACCAATTGATATTTGATTAGAATAGCGACAACAATTTTGAAAAAAAAAGCTGGAGGACTCACACTTCCTGATTTCACAGCTTTCTATAAAGCTGCATCACTGAGACAGCGTGGCGTCGATACAAGGGTGTGCAGAAAACCAGTGGAACACAGGGGCAGTTTAGAACGTGATCTTCCTACAGATGAGCAATTGATTTTCATAAGAGATGCAAACGTAACTCAATGAAGAAAGGATGGTCTTTTTAACAAATAGTGCTGGAACAATGGGTATTCATATCTAAAATAAAATAAACCTTGACTCAAAGTCTCTGTCATACATAAAAATTAACTAATGTAAACCCGTGTAAAACATGTGGCCCCATTGAACAATGCCTCTTGGGTCTCACAGCAATGACAAAGCGAAACCTGTTAAGTTAGATGCTTTCACTGAAATTTCAAGACACTTTGGAAATCCTTGTCAAGCCATCAAAATGTTCCCACCCTTTCGTAAAGCTTAGCTTTTCATGATGCTCGAATGTTTGCTTTCTCTCTCGCTCTCTCTCTCTCTTTTTTTATTGAGATAAGGTCTCCCTATGCCACCCAGGCTGGAGTGCGGTGGCTGTTCACAGGCAGAGTCAGGGCTCCCTGCAGCTTCAGACTCCCGGGCTCCAGCGATCCTCCTGCCTCGGCCTCCCGAGTAGCTGGGACCACAGGCATGCGCCACCACACCAGGCTCTGTTTGCTCTCTTTCTGTCCAGCTTCTTTCAGGTCCAAATGAAATTCTTTGAGCCTCTAGGGCTGTTAGCTTGTGCCTATTTGCATGGCTAAGTAACCAGCACCTCAGACGGGCGGGGAGCCAATGGAAACAAACCCTGCTTCTGCATTAGGCACAGAGGATTCTTTGCATAAAATATTTTCCATTTTAGGTAGAAGGTAGGAGGTGGGAGGAGGGGGCAGTACGCAGGTGTGCTTCATATCAATTAGCCGCTTGCTACTTTTAATTCCATCTTTTCCATGCAGTTAAGTTTGCCTGGCATTGGGCCATGGTTGGTATGAGGAAAATAAAAGAGAGCAGGAGCTGGCGCTACTTGGGGGAGAGTTCCATGTCTGAGAATCCTGGCTCCCTCTGCGAGGCGGCGTGGGCCATAGGCCCGGCTTTGTGAAGAGCTGAGCGGCGCGGCTGGGAGTCCCGAATGCGAGGATTCCTGAAGGCTTCGGAACGCTAACCTCGAGGCCCAGCCTTGCAAGGGCTCAGAAAGGCGAGGCTTAGATGGGGTGCCAAGGCTGCGCCTGTTTCTTATGCTTTCACCGGGCCCTGGCAGCCAGCAGCAGGGGTCTGAGCTGCCCCGCCCCGTGCAGGGAAGGCTGCGCCTGCCTTCCGGTGATGGGAGAGGAAAGGCTCCGTGCACGTGCGTCCACGCTCCTGGACCTTTGCGTTAAGAAAGGAGTTTAATTGGCATTGTTGTGCATGTGTCTGTCCACATTATGTTCTTCTTAATGCTGTTCTCTGTTACTGTTGTTTGGAGGAGGAGGGGACGGGTGGAGTGGGAAGTGGGGCGATGGGCGGCACGAGATGAAGACTTGCAGCATGGCAGCGCCATGTCCACCGCTTGTCACTCGTGGGAAGCCATGATACGTGTGCCCAGCCTGGCGTGTGTGTGTGCGTGTGTGCGCGCGAGCGAGTGTGCGTGTGTGTGTGTGTGTGCGTGTGTGTGTGCGTGAGCGTGTGTGCGTGTGTGTGTGTGTGTGTGTGTGTGTGTGTGTGTGTGTGTGTGGCGCACTGTAGCAGCTCGATAGATGGTGGCGACTGTTCTTCAGTGGGAAGGGGGAGGTGAAGACAGAGGAGTCAGGGGAGGCTGTGGGGCACGAGGACTTAGCGAGGATTGTTTCTCGTTACTAGTGAGAGGAAACAACTTGAACCAGTTTATGGGAAGGAAGAAAAAAGTGAGGGGAGGGAGGGAAGCGCAGACGGCTCATGGGATTGAACTGTGGGCTGGGCAGGGTGGGCAGGGGAGGACAAAATACGACACTGTCCCTCCATCTCTCCTCTCTGCTCTCCTGTGCATGTGGGCCTCTTGCTCCATGAGGTGGGACCCTTGGTCACAGGTGGCTTTGGGCTTACAAACCACAGCCTCAGGACCAAAGAGGAAAAATTGCTTTCCCATAACACCAGTTAGAAAAATCTCAGGGAAGACCGTGACCATCCGGGTTAGCTCAGTGAGAGGGACAAGCCACTGGGCTGGCTGGAGCCACAGGCCTGTGGGCCGGGACCGGCAGCCGCTGCCAGAATGACACAGGGTGAGTGGCTCACCTGACCATGTGGTTCCTGAGCTGGCCTGGGCGCCGGGGGTGGGGGAGGGGCAGGGGCTGCACCCGCGCAGGGCACAGCTGTGCGGACTGTGGGGCCGTCCTGCTGGGCACAGGACGCTCCAAGCGACACGCTGATCTCTTTGTGCGAAAACGCGCGCACTGCCACCTCAGCGTTCTCAAAGCGTCCCGGCCGCCCTTCAAGCGTCCCAGGAGCCGACAGCGGAGGTGAGTCCTGCGGCCCCTGACTTCTGGGCTCACCTCCCGACTTGGAACCTCGGAAGACGGGGCAGCTCCTGAGTGTTTGCAGAGTGCTTATTTCCTCTGCAAGGACATTCCTAGTTTTAGAAGTTTCTTTGCTTTCTAGAGTTTTTTTGTTTTTTGTATGTAGCATAGCTATTTTTGATGAAAATATAAATACCCACCACTCTGACGGGAGCAGCTGCAGGCTCCTGCTCTGAGCACAGCCCTCCTCCTCCTCTGATCACTCTCCGCAGATCACGGATCGCTTCGGGGGCCCTGGAGGCAGCGCCCAGCGGCATAGGAGGCTCTAGCCAGGGGCCAGCCACAAGCAGCTCCCGTCCCAGTGGGGACGCCGCCGCACCTGCCACTCAGGTCTCCAATTCTTTCTAAGGGCGTGGGGCCCCAGGAGCGGCAGCACGGCCGCGCCTCAGAGACCGGAGGTGGGGCTCTGGGAGGCCGAGGCGCCGCACCGTGGGCCCAGGACATGCAGCTGCTCCTGAGCCACGCAAGTGCCAACCATTCGGGTGCCCTGCCATCGCTCTGTGACCCTTCCTGGGGGTGTCCCTTCCTCCTGCTGCCGCCTGCCGAAGAGACCGTCTCAGCATCCTGTTTTATGTCACTGCATTCGTGCGCTTGGGCTCCATAACAAAGTGTCACAGGCTGGGGGGCGTAAACAGCAGTTCTGGAGGCTTGATTCCGAGATCAAGTTGCCGGGGGGTCGGCTCCGTCCTTGCAAGGCTCTCCTGGCTGCCAAGGGCCGAGGGCCGCCTTCTCCCTGCGCCCCAGCGGCCCTCCCTCTGTGCCTGCTTCCTAATCTCCCGCCTCACGCTGGATTGGGGCCCACCTGATGACTTTATTTTGGCTTAATCACCTCTTTAAAGACCCTGTCTCCAAATACAGTCACGTGCTGGGGCGTGGGGGGGTGAAGGCTCCAACATACGGATTTGGGGAGCGGACGCAATTCACCCATGACAGTCCCTGCATGGGAAGGTCTTGATGACCCAGCCAGCGGCCACCCTCCCTCGGGCAGTTTTGCATCCCAGGGCCTCGTGGGTCGCTGGCGGGCTGAGGGCTGGGGTGGGGGACAGACACTGCTGGGGGAGGGCAGCCGTGCACTTTCCGCCCCAGGGCGTGTGCCGGAAAGCAGCGCCGGCTGCTCCTTGGGCGCCCTGGCGTGTGCCCCGCCAGGGCGCGGTTCGGCCGCTCCGTTTCTCTAGCGGGAGAGCCGGAGCAGTGGGGCGCACACCTGTCCTGGCTCCCCAGATGTGCGACGGGGAGAGTCCAGCCCCTCTTCCCCTCCCTCTCGTCCTCGCTCACGGGCCGGGGGTGCCCAGCCCACAGCCCTCAGCGAAGGGGGACGGTTTTCACTCCTGGCATCGCCCGGTTACCCCGGCGGCTCTGCCCAGACGCCAGAGCAGCTACTTAGGGCAGCAGGCGCCGTTCCCGGTGAAAATCCACCTAATTCTATCCTCACAGGGCGACCAACCCTCAACCCTCAACCGGCATTTCTGGAAGAGTCTCCTGGTCAGGGGTCCAAGAAGGTGTCTGTCAAGAAGGGAGGAGAGGAAGCGGCCCGGCCTGAGAGGCTCGAGGTACGTAAGGGACTGGAGACCAGGAGTCAGGGGTGGGGTCCAAGTTGTGTCTCCACCACCAACCACCTGAGTCTTTGGACAAGTTGCTTAACTTCTCTGAGCCTGTGTCTTCGGATATTAATAAGACAACAATCTAAACCATCCTACAGATTTACAAAGGCAAAACAGCACATGTGAACATTCCTGGTACTTAGACACCCAATAAGTGCAGGTTCGGTTGGGATCTCTTCTTGAATGAGGAGAGTACTTTGCAAACAATATAGCACAGAATAAATGGCAGTGGCTACTCTACTACTATCCCAAGTGTCTCAGGCTCTCGTGAGATAAACTGAATCTCAGGTTACACGACCATTGTCTAAAGGCTTTAATCAGGGGCTGACTTGGCATTAGGAGCCTAGTCTTGGTCGTCTTAGAAATGAGGACCCACCTCTGGGTTCCATGGCCAACACGCACCCGCATGGTCTGCCTCCCTGGCTTCCCATCTTGGACCTCTCTGCCCCAGGTTTGGGCTCCACTCCTCGAAGGGATGCATCGACAAACCAGTCCACAAACCCAAGTGTGGCCTTCCCACCTCCTTGTGCCTCTTGTCCCTGGAGCACCCTCACGGGTCCCTTCCTGTGTCTGGCCACAGGCCAGCATGAACTCTCCCAGGGCCTGGGTGTGGGGAATTCTGGGGAGCAGATGCCTTCATGCTTGCTGCAGCCCCTTTCCTCTGGGTGCGAGGCGAACTTTCTCGGTGGGGGACACTTCTTCCCCCTTCGCAGACAGGTGCTGGCTGGCTCAAGCCCCGTCACCCTCCTGTTAAGAGACTTGGGGCTGGGGAGGACAGGGCATCTTGAGGGGTTTCTTCCCTTCCTCTGGCAGGCCTGGAGGGTGGTGCCACCTTCATCTCCCACTGTCCCTTCTGACCTGCCCCTGTGCAGCTGGACGGCTGTGCAGGAAGAGTTCTTTGGCGGGGAGCATTCCTGGCTTAATGTGAGCACACTGAGTATCTTCACGATGCAGGTGAGCAAGAAATGCTCCCTGGAGTGTCTGGGCCACCCTGAGAGTGCCTTGGGTCATTATGCTGCCTTACCCTTTGGCCCTGGTCTTAACAGTGCCTCAAGTCAACCCTAGACACAGATGCCATTTCTGGGGCCTCAGAGGGGCCATTGCAGCTGAGCTCGAGGTCCCACCAAAGTTGTGCTTGGAGGCTGATTCATTCTTTTGAGCAACAGCAGCACCAAGGCCTTGGAGACCGCGGCATCTCCCTGGGTAAGGGGACCCGGATGGCAGGTCCCCAGGGGTCTGGGACTGACCCCAGGAAATGGCAGGAGGTGGGACCTTCCCCTTGGGTGTGAGTAGCAGGGATGATACCCGGACACTTGTCAGAGCACTAGGCCCCCGTGGCCCCAGCGCTGAGTGCAACGCCGCACACGCGTCTAATTCCTTTCCCGTCTGAAACCAGACGGTCCGTGCTGCCCTCCCGTCACGCCGCTGATGACACGGAGCTGCCACCAAGCGACTCCCTCGGCGTGAAGGGAAGCCCAGCTCTGCCGTTCAGCGCTGTCGGACCTCGTCCTGCTGGATCGCCTCTGCCTGTCAAGAGCTTTTCAGATTCTGATTTGTTCCTCTAATGTGCACACGGCTCGTCCTCGAACGCGGCGGTTCTCTGGGCCGTCCTCCAGGGACTGCGGAAGGTGCTGGCCGGGTGGCAGATGGACGGCCTGCAGGTCCCTGCGAGGCTCAGCCGGCCCTCGGCACAGGCGGACGGCTAGTGCGAGCTGCCCGTGAGGAGGCCGTCACACGACGCCCATCGGCACAGGAGCCCTTGTCACGCGTGTGGCGCACACGCCCTGTCCTCCCCAGCCCCAGTCTGACAGCCAAGAGGAGGGAGCGAGCCGCAGCTGCACGCTTATTCCTGGCACGGCCAGTCCGGGGCCTGAGGCTTGATTCAGCGCCAACCCCGGTCGCGAAGGGAGCGGGGTACGAACGGGCAGCGGCTCGAGGAGCGACTCGCACAGCCTCCCAGGACAAGGGGACTGAGGAGCAGGGATCTGTCCAAGCATGAAAACGGGAGGACACAGGGATGTGAGAAGCCACCGGAAAGGTCACATGAATGTTTATTACATACAAAAGAAGGAAAAGGAGAAAAAGGTTTCCAAAGCCATATTTTCAAGGATTTAAAAAAACACAAACGTGGAATGCCAAAGAGATGCCATGCTTTATATATTTATAGTAGAATGCGTGTGTATGTATAACTATGTACACAGAGCTATGTACACAGGTTTTGTCGTCATACGTGGTGTTTTTCACCGCACGGACAGCGACACTGCTTGAGTTAAGGATTTAAAGCCGGCGGAAGGCCGGAGAAACGGAACCCTGCCCGAGGCCAAGGTCCTGGGGTGCCCGGAACGCGGAGCCGCAGGCAGGCCGGGGCGAGTCTGGAAGCTTCCCCAGGTCCCCGCCATCAGCTTTCTTCCAAGAGGGCTCCGGTCACGGAATGGGCTGGAAGCCACCCCGCGTGACGCGGCGTGACCGGAAGCCGGGAGGTCGGGGGAGAGCGCCGTCCGCGGTCGGCGAAAATGCATGGCAGCTGGTCTGACAGGCAGGAGAGACCCAGACGGCGCCAGTCGAGGGACCGAGACACTGCAGATCACGGCGTGACACGCGTGTGTGTGGGAAGTCTGCAGGTGCACGGGGGCTGTTGTCTTGCCTCTGCGTGTGTGTTCAGAACGGCAGGCACACGCACAGCCTGTGGAGAGGGCCAGCCGCGTGTCCCCCTGGGGGAGGTCGCCACAGGAGCCTGTCACAGCCTCCTCCGCCTGTCGCCCTGCGTGAACAGCCCGTCCAGGGCTAGCCCCGAACACGGGTGAGCGGGGCCTCCCTCCCCTCCCCTCCTCACCCGCTCCTGTGCCAGGGTGTGTTTTGGGGTGCAGGAACAGAAAGTGGCTTCAGAAGAGAGGACTGGCTGCAGCCTGGGAGAGCCCCGGAAAGAGAGCACTGTCCCCTCTCCCTGGGGCAGGCCCATCGCCCCCACGGGAGGCCCAGCTGGGGCCTGGCGGGCGGCCACGGCCACCTTTGGTGTGGCTGGGTGCTGAGCCCACGGGGGCTGGGAGGAAGAGCTCAGAGTCTAGGGGCTGTGGAGAGAAGGGACCGCGCGTGCGTCTGGGCTGGGTGGGTGGGGGTGGAACGAGGGCAGAAGTGCTGCCAGCCAGTGCCCACCCTGGAGGAGGGTGCGGGCTCCTCTGTCTGCAAGTCCCCATGCCGAGTCTCGGACATGCCCTGTCCCGCTTCCCGCAGCCGTGGAGGGGCCGTGAGTGTGCGTGTGCGTGTACTTCTGCCCAGCGGGGGAGAAAAGACCAGCCTGGGTGGTGGGCATTTCCACAAGTCCAGGCAGGGAGGGAGAGGGGCTGGGACCAAGGTTGCCCAGCTAAATCCAAGCAAGACGACTTGTCCCGGAAACGCAGGACACACAAGCCGGCCCCTGCCGTCTGCCTCCTGCCCTCTGCGGTGGCGGCCGGGAGTGGGATGGGGCTCAGGACGTGAGGCCTGGGCGGGACAGGACAGCTTGCCTCCCCTGCTCAGGTGGGGCTGGCCTCTGAGCCCTTGGCTCCGACAAAATCGGGACAATGATGGCTGCCCAGGCCCCTCTTTGTTCCCAACCTATAGATGGTCAAACTGAGGCACAAGGCAGTCGGACACAAGGCACAAGGAGATGCGGACAGTCATAACGTCGCTGAGGCCGGAACTCACTCCTTGGCCTCTGGGGGACCTGGGCGGTCACTCTGGTTGGGATCATCCTAGCTCTGGGTGGCCAGGGATTTAGGGTGGGTCCACCTGAGCACAAGCACTTCCGTGTCTCTGTGCTCCCGTGAGCACCCAGAGCTCTAAGAACCTCAAGGGAAGATGGCGGAGGGAGGCGGGGCCGGCCTCTCACGACCTGGCCAGGCGGCCTTCTCACGCTCATCCCAAGCCCGCTGGCCCAGAAGCAGCACTGTCGCTCGGGCAAGCCGGCCCCTCGCCCCTTACAACAGGCGCACAGGACGCCTCAGGGGGAAGCGCAGCCCACCTGCGGTCTCGCCTGAGGGGCGGGGAGGGAGGGCCCGGCCTCTCCACCCAAGCACGGGACCGCGCTTGCGGCCGCGCTCACTCGCGGGGCTGGCTGAGTGACGGGCAAAGCGGGCGCTGTCCCTGCGGGGCACTGCCAAGCTTCTCGTTAAGCCCCACAGAGAGCGACTGTCTCTGCAGCCTCAGGCCAGCTTCCTACTGTGGTCGGCAGACGGGCAGCAGGGACTTCCAGCTGCTGCCCGAGCGGAGGCCTCCAACCGCAGACAAGGTCGCGGTGTGGGGAGCACTGTTGCAGCGGGGGCGGGGGCACTTTCAAAGGGCTCTCCCTCCTCCAGTACCTCCCATAAAGTGCTCCAAACGAGCCCAGCATGCGGGAGGAATAGTGACAGTGCACAGTGTCTTTAATCATTAACTCGACAACTAACACACACACGACACGTTGCCGAGCAGTTACACGGTGCTCCACGCTTTCTGTGCCCACGTCACTGGCACTGCCAGACACGGCAGCGTGATTAAAGCCCGAGGGGGGCCTGGGAGCCTGGGTGGGCCCTCGGGGGCCCGGGGGCCCAGAAGAGCTGGGTGCAGGCATCATGGAAGGAAACTCCTGAAAGTGCGCCTGTCTGGGCGGGAGGGTTAGCTAAAGCAAACGTCTAGGTTTTGTTCGGGGGATTTTTGTGTTGTAAAGAGCCAAGCTGGTGCACAAGGGCCACTGTCATCTCAGCTTCACTCTCCCCCTTGAGAACCTCAGGCCTTTGGAAGACGTTTGTCCTGGTCCTGGGCCTTCAGCCCCACCCTGCTCTGGCCTTTGGCTCAATGTTTGGGGTCCGCGTATGGTTTTCTTTTTGAGATCTGGGCCCTTTTACTCTCGGGGGAAAGTTAACCCTACGGCATCTTTCTTTCTACATGGCCTTTTCGCACATGTCCTCCCCGCTGCCCCTCATCCCTGGGCACCGCGTGCAGCTGGAGCCCGGACTGGGGGCGGGCAAGCTGGCCCTGTGTGCTGGGACCCGGCAGCGCCTCCTGCCGGCTGTCACTCTTACACCCTCCATAAGTGACACCCTTCCGGGCTCACAAAGGAGCGTGGGTTCGAGGGCTGCCAGGGCGGTGGGGGCAGGGAGCCTTGGGGGCAGGGTGGGGCGTCCAGCCATTGCTCAGGTTTCTCGTTTCACCCTATTGCTTCTGAGTGGGTGCAGGCCCTCCCAGACCCCCTCTTCTGGCCCCCTGCCATTCCACTCCTTCTTCTGGGGGGCCGTAAGGAGGCACAGGCTGTGTAGGGGGCCACGCCCTCGTCCTGCCACTCTCGAGCTGAGTGTTCGGGGCACACGGTTACTCTCTCGGAGCTGGAGTCCTGACGTCTGCAGCTCAGCGCAGACCCTCCCTCCCAGAGGCATGGCGCTCTCTGGCACACGGTGAGGGCCGTGGTGCCTGCTAAGGGCTGACATGGGGAGGCTGTTCTTGTCCCTGGGCTGGCACTGGGGCTGGGACAGCAGAGGAAGGGAGCCACACTGCATGCCCCCTCCTTACCCACCCTCAGCTGCAGCCACCAGCGTGCAGGGCTGGGGAGGGTCCCGCAGAGGCAGGCGGGAGGGGTGCAGGCACCAAGCCAGGAGCCATCTGCCCCCTGTGCTCACTCGGAGATTCAGGCTGTCCTGGCCCCAAATCCTCAGCTCTAAAACTGACTCAGAACTCAGCACCCAGATCCACAGTCTCCATCGCCGACGGGACACACCCGGCCCCCAGGGACTCGCACTTGCTCCAGAGTCCCGCTCTGGCCACTCTGATCACAGTGTCACGATTAGGCACTGGGAGCATCCCGTCACTATGACGTTCCCTGCACACCTGTGACTCCTGCCTCACACACCCACAGCCAGGGACACCCTCCTGAGTTCTGGCCGGCAAAAGGCGCAACCCTGGGACGTGCCCTGCAACTTCCGCACCATTGCCTCAGGGCGAGCTGTCGAGGCCAAGCCCAGCTTGGCCGCCAAAGGGCTGTGTGTCACCTGAGTGCTTGCCGGCACAAGAACCTTAATTTTCAGCTGGCTGGTGTCTGAGAAATAAACCGCGGCCGTCTAATGATCTGAGTGGCCAGCTCAGACTACTTGGACTAAACTAGCCCTGTCCCCGGCTGATGAAGAGGATCCTGCTAAGACTAATTTAGAGGGATGTGATTCCAACTGGTCCCACCTGTGTGGCCACCCTCGGACACCTGATGTTGGCGGGGGAGGGACCGGGACCCCCGGTGGCTTTTCCTATGCATCAGTCACCCGGGAAGGCGCTTCCTCCCGAGGCTGTTGGGCTCGCAGGTCGGAGCGCGGCCCCAGGTGAGGGGCGGCTCCGGGGGCAGGTGGCCTTGGCCTTGCAAGCACACAAACCCTGCATGGAGCCATCCCACAAGGGCTCATGGTGACACCTGCCACTCCAGAAAATGCCACTCGTGTCTGGATTGTGTCACCAAACATGGGACACTATTGCTATCTCTGCTCCACCCCTCCGAAGCCGCCCCCAGCGCAAGCCAGGAGGACAAGCGTCTCCTCCCCCACTGGGGGCGCAGCCCTCCCAGGCCTGTCATGGCGCAGGGCGTCAGGCAAGCTCGGGCTGCGCGGGGTGAAGAGCTGTGGGCTGGGAGCCGTGGGCGTGGGGGCAGCGGGACCCTCATTTCCCTCCGCAGAAGCTGTTTTATACATTGCAGGGCGGCTATCTGATGAGCTTCCTTAAGAGCCACGGGCCGCCAACCCGGAGTATGCTGTCTTCACAGGCAACAGGGTCTGGCTTTTGGGTAAAACCCAAATCTGAGCCCACGCCTTGACGACGCAGAGGCGTCCAAACAGGACAGCGGCAGACAGGAGAGATACAGACACCGCCAGGTGTTCTGGAAGTGCAGCCCAGGCCTGGGCGGTTAGGGAGGAGGGATACGACACCCAGCAGAGCTGAGGGCGGGCAGCGGGCAGGACAGGCCGGAGCGGAGGACCCACCCGTGTCCAGCCAGGGCCCAGGGCGGGTGAGTCCCGCAGGGACCCTGTTTCTCCTGGAGGTCGGGGAGCTGTCCAGCCTGCTGGGGGCTTGAGACCGGTTTCCCCACAGGGCTGGGATTAGAGAGCCCAGTGGACGGGGAGGGGCTGGGACCCCTCTGTGGTGGCACGGCCTCCCAACCCTCCCGCCCAGCAACAGAGAAGGCGGGCAGACAGGTCCCCGCTCCAGCCCCGGTCCAGCCCTGATGGAGTCACCGGGGGATTCGCAACAGATTAACGCACACGCACACACCGCGCTCGAAGAGGGAATGGCACAACGTCCAGTGGGGTCAAAACTTTAGCTTTGGGCCTGTCCTACCTGTCAGCGCTTCCTATGTTAGGAAAAAAAAGAAAAGGAAACAGACACGTAAATGTCCATCCTATTACCATAATCTCAACCTCCTTTCTCCTAATCTCAGATGGACACTCGATCCACAGTGACCTGGACAACTTCTGCTGGTCTCTGCCTCGTTGGGGATCTACCTGTGCAGCAATCACATACGGAGGGGCTCCTTGGGGCAGGGGCTGGTGGTCCCTTTGCAACGGAAGGAACTCTGTGTGATGGGACAGTCTTATCCTGTAATGCGTCTGTTTCAGTGGGATTTTCAGATCAAGGTCCACAACCCATCCGATTGTTTTGCCGTTCTGAAACTCCAAAAGCCCTCAGAGGGTAAGATTGTCCCCCAAACTTACTTAGTGGGAGTACTGGACTTGAACTGAGGTGAGGCTATTTACAGTTCTTATTGATCCCAATTAATCTGACTCATCACATGTTTTTCTGCAGAAACATTCACGTGCCGGATCGTGGGTGGCATGTTCCAGACTCTGCCAGGGTGTTATGAAAATATTCGGTACATGGATCATCTTATCTCTCTCAAATCTAAAATTTCTGAATTCAGAGATCCATCTGGCCCAAGAACTTCAGAAAAAGGAGAATGGGCCGGAAACGGTGTAAGTATGGCGTGAAAGGCTGCCGGTCTGTGCCCATGCCGTGCATGCTCCGGCCGGTGACCTTGTGTGCGAGCACCGGGCAGCTCTGGCCGTCTCGCCCAGGGGCGGAGCCGCCCTCCCTCCCAGGGCAACGAAGGGCAAAGCACACGCAGCCCTTGAACTTCAGAGGCGAGGAGGCTGGGGCTGCACTCAGGGAGGGCAGCCTATGGGACTTGTCCTCTCCTTGAGGCCTCAGGCCAGCTGTGGGGACAGTGGCGCTGTCCACACCGGGCTGAGTCTGGCCATCCTCACCCCGACTCCAGCACTGCCCCCAGGAGACCGCAGAGAAAACACTCGGGGCACTAGATTTTGAGGCAGGGTGTGGGGACCCAGAGGAAGTGTCCACCACAGTCCTGTCCCCTTGGCAAGCCCCTGCTCACCAGGCAGGGCCCACCGAGGCCCTGCCCAGCAGCTCCTGTGTGCCATGCAGGGGGCAGGGGCAGGGGCGGGGGCAGGGGGTCCTGCGAGGGGCTGTGCCTGCTGGAGCTCCCAGCCTCTCTGTCCACTTTCCCATCTCCCCCGCTGCCTGCCGCTCTGGTGCTAGTGTTTCCAGAGCAGGAGGAGGGACTGGTGGCCCTCAGAACCCGCTGAGAAAAGCAGATGTGTTTTCAAAATAAATATTTTTTAAAATACCCCCTTTCCACCCCAAATCTGGAAAATGGCAGAAGAGAACACGTAAAGATCCTTGTGCCTGACGCTGCCTGGTGCAGCCCTCCCAGGGCCCCCGGACCTCTCCAGCGGCTCCTGAGGGCTCACAGCTGCTGCGGGATGCCCTGTTCCTTGTAGCCTGCAAGGAAAAGCAAAGGAGAGATGGTTAGACGCCCACTTCCTTCAGGATTTCCCCAGGAGGTACCCCCCGGAATACACTCATGAGGCCATATTCATACTCAAGTGTAAATGACTGCTACCATCAGGGCATAGCTTTGGCTTTGGTTTTTTAATGAGAGAGGGGAAAAAAAAGAATGAATCAAGAATTGCAGAGTATTGGGTTTACTGGGGATGTATGAGAGGAAGCTATCTGGGGTGGGAGCAGGAAGGCAGTACGTGTGCTCCTGAATCCACACCCTGGAAGCCACCGCACAGACCGGCCCGGGTGACTTCCCAATACACAGCCATGACAGAAGGCGCCTCCCCAAGGGTTGGGCACCTGTTATGGTGGACGGGGAGGAGGAAGGAGGAGGAAGGAGGAGGAAGACCGCACACAGAAGGGAGTAACCATCCATGTGTGTGTTTGACCAGCCAGACGGCTGTGCCGGGAAAAGGTGCCGGAGGACCTCGAGCCTTTGAAGTATGGTTAATCATGAGACCTTTGGGGAATGTGAGCACTGTGGATATTAAGGAACTGTGTGGCTAATTTATTTAGGTGTGAAAGGACGTTGTGTTTATGGCTTTTTCTTTTAAAGAAGATACCTTCTAAAATATTTCCAGCTACAACTACTCGACTGCAAGGTCCTGGGCGGCTAGCCCACGAGCTGGCGGACTTAGACTGAAGAGAAGCTTCAGTGGGCTCAACTGCTTTTCCCTCTTCATTTAACAGGTTATGCGTCAGTTTGGGGCATAATGACCCTGTGCGTGGGGTGGGGAGATGCAGGGAGTAACGGATGAAACGAGAGTGGCCGTGAACGGGTGAAGCTGGCGTGGACATTTAGGGACTCATTACACCAGGAGCTCTGCTTTTATCTGTGTTCAAACATTTTCCAAAATGAAAAGCTAAAGCTAAAATACAAGCCCGTTGACCACCTGGGAGAGGTGGGGCGCCTGCGCGGGCTGGGGCTCCAGGGAGGCGGCCCAGGCGCGGCCTGCGCACCCACAGACTCACCTTGGGAAACTGCGGCGACACAGAGGTAGGCGGCAGCAGGAGGAAGAGGAGAGAAAGAAGAGAAAACACAGTCTGAAAACAGCCTCAGGGAATACCTGAAACAGGAGCCCAGGCGGACCCGTGGTGGGCCTGGGCCGCGGGCTGGCGCTGTGCCGGTGGCTTCTCTGAAGTGCGTGTCTGGGGTTCATGCGGCCAGCCACCACGGCCGCCGGGCATGTGGGCACGGCTAGGGGTGCACAGCAAGGGGCTCCCGCGCTGCCAGAGCCTCCCCGGCCCCCACCCCAGCCAAGCGGCCCTGCAGTGGTTCCTATGCTCCGCCCATGTGCCTCGAGATGGATTCCGGGTGGACGTCCACAGGCTTGACTGTGACAGCCTAAAGAGGCTCACACGGCCCGTCCTGGCCCTGCCTGGCTCTGCCTCGGCCACGTGGCTAGCCCTTTCTATGGACAGGAGCCACAATATAAAACCCAATACTTTGGGAAAGGCCCAGGCCCAAGGGTGGCAAACAGGCTTTATCTTGCAGACTTCTTGGATCGTTGGTAGTGACTGAAGCCCTGGGCAGAGAAAATGTGGACTATTCAGCAGGAAGTGTCATGACTGATTAGCAATGTCTGCCATGGGCACGGCAATGGAAAGAGCCCCACAGAGCTACCCTGACCAAGACAGGCTATTGTTGATCTTCATTTGGCGTTTTCAATGCAAATCAAGCAGTATGCTTACACGTTCCTGATTTTCAATTCTACTTTCATCTATATTTCTCTGATTTCCCTCATGGGAGTTTTCCATGATGGCATGTTTGCTGGTGGCACCCTGGACAGTGCCATGTGAAAAATCAACTTGTAATGTTGTAACTGAAAAGTTTCCTTTGTTTTTACAGGAAGGGGCTGGAGTGACACCAGCAAAAACAGCCCCTCATCCAGCTGTCTTCCAGGACAGACAAGCCCACGTGGTTATTCCCTCCAAAGGAGTCGCCCCGGGACACTCACACACTCCGCTGCTGCTCAGCGATCCCAGCCTACAGCCCTGCTGTATTCGCCCCCTGAGGGCAGGCTTGTTTAGAAGAAGAGCAAAGGCGCCTATGCTGGGACGGGTGAGTGGGTGAGACTAGTGGGGTGCGACTAGCTTTCTTGTGCGTCCCCCAGACTCTCAACAGTCTGGTGCAAAGCCAGCATCCCTGGGCTGCCTGTGACCCACAGTGCAGGCCGAGTGATGGGGGGATGGGGGGGGGGCGGGGGTGGCCTGGAGGCTCTTGCACTGGCCTGGCCCCACCCCCACCTCAGGGAGGAGCTTCTGGCAGAGTCTGCAGCCCGGGTGATGGGCAGTTCGGGAGTGACTGGATTCCCAGCTGCACTTCTTGGGGTCTCCTGGCCTCATCTAAGGCATGTGAAGGGAGCTCTTTAAGTTGTCTCTAAGGTTTGGGCTCCTTGGTGGCTGGGCATTAAGGAGACCCAAGACAGATATGCCAGAAAGCTCTAGAGATCAGATTAGGCATCAGCACGCTGTTACTGAGACCTGCCCTGCGACACAGGCACGGCCCACTTTAATGCAGGGGCTCCTTCCTGAGCACCCCAGAGCTCGGCCAGGCGTTCGGTTGGATGTGGAGGGGAGCCAGTGAGAGGGCCACGGTGCGCAGGGCAGGGCAGCCTTCGCAGGCCTGCGGAGCGCGGACGCACCCTCCTGCCCCCAGGAAGCAGCGAATTCCCCCGGGAAACTGTCAGACCACCTTTTAGGACTCACCAGAGGGCTGGCAACATTTCTTTCCCGGCGGGAACGTTCTGCATCCTTCCCCCAAAATGAAAGTGGCCCCTGCACATGCCACTTGCCCTCCACTCGCCCTCCAGTGCCCTCCAGCCCCTCCTAGCAGGGCAGAGCATCTCCTCACTGCTCCCCGGCCGGCCTGCTGCTCAGCCGCTGGCCAGGCGTGCTGTCCCCTCTCCCTCCCTGGCTGCCCCTGGCCACCAGCGTCTGCCTGGCGGGCTCCAATCTGGGCTAGCGCGGCACACAGCCAGCCCGCCCCTCCCGGCCTCTGCCCCGGAGGCCTTCCCAGCCGCCTGGCCCATCTGCCCTCCCGGCTCTCACAAAGGCTCTGGGGCCTGCATCTTCTCTGGCCTGGTGGCCTGGTGGCCTGCTTGGTCACTGACCATGGCCCTGGTGTCTTCTCTGGCCTGGTGGCCTGCTTGGTCACTGACCATGGCCCTGGCGTCTTCTCTGGCCTGGTGGCCTGCTTGGTCACCTACCATGGCCCTGGCGTCTTCTCTGGCCTGGTGGCCTGCTTGGTCACCGACCATGGCCCTGGCGTCTTCTCTGGCCTGGTGGCCTGCTTGGTCACCGACCATGGCCCTGGCGTCTTCTCTGGCCTGGTGGCCTGCTTGGTCACCGACCATGGCCCTGGCGTCCGTGTGTGACCTAGGTCTGTCTTGAGTCTGCACTAGATCCTCAACTCAGGCTGAATTGGCCACAGATAATTCCAGATCATTCTAGGGCCCCTGAACCCTGAGTTTCCCCTCCCATCCCTACTGCTTACCTCTGTACTGGCCATCCTGCCTGTGGATGGTTTTTGGGGTGTAGGACACAATGAGGGGTGGGGTGGGGGGTGTGGAGTGAAGGGGAAAGCTTCTGAAGGGACGTGGTCAAGATTATTGAACTGAGGCCTAACGGGGTGCGTGGAACATGGGAGACAGACATGGCTGCTTAACATAGGTGATGTTCAGCCAGGCACGGTGGTTCAGGCCTGTACGGTGGTTCAGCTGCTTGGGAGGCCAAGATGGAAGGATCACTTGAGCCCAGGAGTTCGAGGCCAGCCTATACAACAATAGTGCGACTGCACTTCTAAAAAAATAACTAAAAGTTAAAAAAAAAAATGTTTAAAGGTTATGTCTATTTCAAGATTTTGCTAGGTTATTTTGAGGATGGTAACCGAGTTGTCTTTGGCAAACTTGCCTTTGTAACTTTATGGCCTTTCACAAAACAGTTTTGTGTCTGAATCAAGTTTGTGTCAAGAGATTGAGGAAGGTCCACTCAATGCAAGTGAGGACTAGCAAGGCTTAGCACCAACGAGCAAAGAAGCCAGTTTAAAAGAAGGAGGAATTATGCTGCTCTAGCATAAAAAAATTAAATTAAAAAAATAACCAACACAGTTCTAGGGTTTCCTCTGGGCAAATATGCCAAGTGTTCTTTTCCTTCTTCTGGGAACTGCGTGATGGAGAGACAGAGTCTGGGAGGCACAGAGGACCAGCTCACATAGGCCATGCCCACTGTACCCTGCCTTGTCACCCGGTCTCAACGACTGGTGTGTCTTAGCCAGACAGGGGCTGCCCCTCTCTCAGTCATGTCTGCTGGTCAGGTCTCCACGAGGAGAATCCTGTCTGCCATGCACTCATAATTCCCGCAGCTGACTGGGCCAGCCATGGTGGCGAGGGTCCCCTGTGCCCACCAGCCGCGGGCCGGGATGAGGAGGGGCGGGCAAGCCCTCTCCAGCGCTGTCCTTAAGGGGCGAGCAGCAGCTCCGCGGCCGACGGTCTCCCCAGCCCATCCTGCCCCGCCCCTCTCCCCGCCCTGGGAGGCCCGCGGTGCCGGTGGCTACTCACTGGCGAGGATGACCATGTCCATGCCCCAGAAGATGCTCATGATCCAGCCCACCATGACGATGGCCGTGAGGACCTGGATGAGGGCGGCCGCGATGTTCAGCCAGAAGACGCAGCACACGTGCCGGTCCGGGAGGTCAGTGCGGGCCCCACACAGCACGGTGAAGGCCGAGACGAATGTCCCTGTGAAAGGCCAGAGGGGACAGCCGTCTGAGGGTGCTGGGAGACACAGGGGCACGCGTGCTTGTCGCCGACCTGGCCCAGCTGCCCACCCTCCGAGAGCTCAGAGAGGAGCCACTGGTGGCCAGCACCCTGCCTCTGAGCAGCAGCCCGCTCACACCTGCCCACCTCCTGGTGTCTCCGTGGAGGCCAGTGGACCACCTGGAGAGGTACAGCCTGGGCCGCCAAGGGCCCAGCACAGAAGTCACGTGACAAGCAGTCCCTGCCGTGAAGGACCAACAGGGAAGCCACCTACAAGGACAACAGGCAGTTGGAAAGAGTGACTTCGTGTGGCAGAGATTGCCAGGGCCTGCGAGTTCAGAGGTGGGAGTGGTGTCACTGGGGTAAGACGGAAGCCAACCCCAAAAGCAAACTCAGGAGAGGTGGAGGGCCAGGAAATGCCCCCCAGCACACCTGATCACTAAGGGACAGGCGCTGAGAGCCCAGGTGCCTGTGGAGTGCAGAGAGCACAGCCCAGGGCTGGGCTCCAGAGCCCCTCCCCGAGGGCCTCCCCTGTGGGCCTCCCCCAGACACCTGAGCTGCGAGGACCCTGGACACGTGGAGCCTGAGAGCTACCGAGTGCCCAGGAGGGGCCAGCAACATGGCGGGTGGCCTCGCATTCCTCACCTTGCCTGAGACCTACCCTGTGGGTGACACCACTCCGTATACCGAGTTTGGACTTGAGCCAGGCCCCCCTGCGTGGGCTCAGAGCCTCGTGACAGCCCCGCAGGGTAGCTGGCCTTCTCCTGGGGCTGCAGTGGCAGTCACCCAAACGCAGTGGCTTAAAGCAACGCAGATTTGTTCTGTACAGTTCTGGAGGTCAGAACAGTCCCAGGTGGCCCTCAGGCCTGGCTTCTTCCGGAGGCTGGGGGACAACACATTTCCTGGCACCCGCGTTCCTGGGCTCACGGCTCCTTCAGCGTGGCGTCCCCTCTGACCTCCGTGCCGTGTTCGCCCCTCGCGCCTCCTTGCGACCCACCGGACAACCCAGGATGACCCTCTCGAGACCCTCGGCTTGCTCCCGTCTGCCAAGCCCCTCTGCCGCATCGGCCGCACAGTCGCAGGCTCGGGGTCAGGGTCCTCTGGGCCGTCACCCAGCGAGCACGTCATGACGTCATCCCGTCGTTACGGAGAGAGACTCGGGTGCCGGCCCATTTCAGGTGTGGGCCTGGCCGGGCTGCGGCTGCCCAGGCAGCCGGAGCCGCGTGGGCCCCGGGCGTGTCCGTGAGGCAGTTCCCGGGCGCACTGGCGCGGCGTGCACAGGCTGAGCGAAGACCCGCCCTCCTGTGCCCGGGCGCCAGCTACTCGGCCGGGCCAGCTGGGACGGATAAACGGGCGGGGCCCGGGATTGCCTCTCCGCTTGCCCCCTCCCTTCCAGAGTGGGCGCTTTTCTCCGCCTGCCCTCGACACCGCACTCCAGGCTCTTTGGCCTTTGGGTGCTGGGACTGGCACCAGCAGCCTACAGGGGCTCTCAGGCCCAGCTGGGCGCATGGTGCCGGCATCCCGGGTCCCCAGGGTGCAGACCGGGCGGAGCCGCACTCTGGCTTTGAGCCCCACTGCCAGCGTCTCCAGCTGTCCTGCGTGCAGCCAGCCTGTCAGGGGACTTCGCCTCTGTGATCTTGTGAGCCACTTTCCCCTAATAAACCCCTTCCACGTACCCTACTGGCTCTGTGTCCCTGGAGAACTCTGACTAACACACTCAGGAATTAGGCACCAAAGTCACCTGCGTGGGTGGCCCGAGCCCACTGCCGCCTGGTGCCAAGGGCCACACTCCTGCACTGCCTCGCAGGCAGGGTGACCTTTTATAGACAAGCCCAGGCCAGAACTCAGGCTATGTGGGAGATCAGCCAGTACTCTGCTGACTGTTCTCGAGTTCCTAGTGCTCTCAGCTCCCGCTCCTTGGAGCTGCCTGTCACTGATTTTGCCTCCGCTCGGACTGTGGTTTCCGGCCCTTCCCTGCCCAATTTGCTGGCTCTGTGGCTTCCAGGTGTGGCCTTTGCTCTCGCCCACACCTTTGTGCCCCAGACCCCAGGCTGAAGCCCGAGGCCACGTGCTGATTTCTGACACTGACCCTGCCCTGTCCTCCTCCTCCTCCTCGTAACACTGCAGACATGAGGTCCCAGGCTGCCCGCACTCACCCTGTCCCCCAGCCCTGAGCACGGTACACGGCAGGTGGGCTGTGGACATTCAAAGAAATGCAGCAAACATCAAATGTCTCCTCGGAGCGCCCACGCCATGGCCTGTGGTGTCTGTGGGAAATGCAGATACCTGGGTCCCTCCTGAGATCTGCCGAATGTCTGCGTGGGGCCTCGGAAGTCTGCATTTCCGACAAGTCCCACCCCTGTCCCACGAGGAATGCTGGCGCTCCCTAAAGCGTGAGAACCACAGACTCAAGATCAGTCAACTCGCTGAACCCCCTCTGCATCCCTGGCGCGGAGGCCGGGGGCCTCCCGGGACGGGACGCAGAGCGTTGAAGCTGCTCTCTCACTCTGCCACACAGGGGCCCAGCCAGGGCCACAGAGCTGCGCTGGGGCCTCCTTGCTGGGGGTGGGGTTGCAGCTCCTACGTCCCTGCAGAGGCTCCTTCAGGGAGCTGCCTCAGTCCCTGCCCTCAGGAGCTCTCGGTGTGGCAGGGAACCACCATCCTCACCTGGCGGGGGAGAAGGGGGCTCCGGGCTTGCCCCGGTGTGCAGCGGTGGGGCTCCGAGCCGGGGCTCGAGCTCCAGCCTCTTCCCACTGGGACGAGGAGGGCGAGGACAGTGCCAGGGGCAGAGTGCGGCCCTGGGGGAGGGGATGGGGTGAAGCGAGGGGAGACTGACTTGGGCCATTTGCGAAGGGCTTGAATGCCTGGGTAAGAGTTTGCCCCTCACCTGCAGGAAACGAAGCTCTCACATAGGGTTTTGAGCAAGTGTCACGATGGAAGCAGTGATTTAAGGAAATTCATTGCCAGCAGGGTGTTGGGTGGATTTAAAGTCTGAGATGGGAAAGATGAACTGGGAGGAGAAGGCAGCAGTTGAGAAACGATGGGGACATGGCTCAGGGCCTGGTGGTGGACACAGGAGGACTCAGGGGACTTGAGGACCATTAGGGAGTGTGTGCCACCATCCTCTACTTCTGCTGGCATGTCATGCATGTGGGATAGGAGATGAGCACAAGTCGACACCAATAAACGAGAGAACACTACAGAATTAGAAAGATGGTAGAAAAACGAACAAGAATATGTGGGGAAAATATTAAGTGAAAATAACATAGATGCCACTTGCTGCATGCCTACAGCGTGCTGTCACCATGCTACCCTCTCTCCCCTACATTGCCTCTTATTCTTAAAGCTGTTGGAGGTAGTTATTATTATCCCCATTTTGCAGACAGGGAAACTGAGGCTCGGAAAGCCTAAATGACCTGACCACATTGCAGAACCCAGATTTAAACCCAATCTGCCTAATTTAGAAGACTGAGTTCTTTTCAGTCTAGGATGTTGCATCCTTACATTAACAAACAAGGAAAGAACCTTCATCCTTAATGATTTTCAAATGCCCCAGAACCCACCCCTGACCCAACCCGTGTCTTTCACGGAAGGCCTTAAAATGGATAGATGGTACCCCGATCTCTGGCCTGCAGTGTCCTGACTCTGGGGCAGCTGGCTGAGATACGTGACCCTCTGTCTCTTTGTAACTGTGACCTCACCTCCCTCTTCCTGCCTAGGGACCAGGAACAGTGGTTGTTCTCTCATGTTTTTGTTAGGCTGAACCACATAAAATTAGCACTTTCGTAGGTCAAGAACAGCTGAATAATTACAATTTCATATGGTTCAGCCTAATATGTATATGAAAGTTTTGTGCTTAAGAAAACTCTGTCCCTGAACTCAGAGATTCTTAGAGTTAGAAGGTCATCTATCCATCTCCCGTCAAAAGATGGAGTCTCACTGGAATTGCCAAAGGGATTAGAGGCCGATGGCCTGTACCTGTCTGCTCGCCGTGGAGCGGGGAAGGCCCGGTGAGCCCAAGGCTCCACACACGTGCAGGGCCGTGCAAAATGCATGACATCAGCAAAGGCTTCGGCTCGTATATTTGGAAAAGGTGGGCTGGCCCACACTTTATTTAAAAGAGGAGACAACCTTAGCACATGTGTGGTGTGAGAGGGATTGTTGGTCACTACTCTCTTTTACCCACGTTGACATACTCGTGATAACTCTAAGACACGCATGAAAGTATAAACACATCATACACACCCTGACGTGGATGATATGTGCACATATTACCTGCAGCTGCGTTAATGTGGATTTCACTAATTAGGAAATAAAGGTAACAGGTCCCTTTTGCCATATAGGGTAACACACACACCATAGAAGGCAAGGATTAAGTGAATGGATTTATAATACAAAAGCATTGTTTTAATCTCTTTAGCAGTAAATTTAAGAAATGATTTTAGCAGATTTTCACATGAAGAGGTGTAAATTGTTTTAAATGAGTCTTCCCAGTTAAATAAAGAGCTCTGCTTCACCGCAGTGTGTTAGTTCTAACTTACTCCGCTGTGCGCCAGCCACATGCCAGTGCCGGGTCCGGGCAATCAGAGCCCAAACGGGGTTGGGGACTGCCTACTCCCCCCGGGAGCTCACACCGTGGCAGGGCCACGGGGTCACACAAGGAAGAGTGACAGATTCTGTTTGGCTGGAGCAGGAAAGACTTCACAGGAGAGGGGGAGACTGAGCAGGGAGCCGGGAAGCTGAGAGAGCTCACCAAGGGCTTCCAGAAACAGCCCGGCACATCCATCCGGGCTCAGAGGTGCCCGGGCAGGATGCAGGGTGTGTGCAGAGGAGGGACAGGAACTGAGGCTGGCTCAGACGCCAGTAAGAGCTTTGTAAATTAAACAAATGAGGCTGGAGTGGGCAGCAGTCAGACCAGGGAGGGCCCCGAGGGCAGCCCCAGGAAGCGGTTTGAGCGGGGAACTCTAGGGTCAGGTGTGAGT